TAACCTAACCTAACCTAACCTAACCTAACCTAACCTAACCTAACCTAACCTAACCTAACCTAACCTAACCTAACCTAACCTAACCTAACCTAACCTAACCTAACCTAACCTAACCTAACCTAACCTAACCTAACCTAACCTAACCTAACCTAACCTAACCTAACCTAACCTAACCTAACCTAACCTAACCTAACCTAACCTAACCTAACCCAGTTGCACTCCAAACGCCGTGCCGTACGCAGCATTTTTATATCGCTCCGCGCTCGAAAATTCAAAGTGTCGGGTCAAAGTGCACCAATCTTTAAGTGTTATATACCTTTAGACGCGTCTTGTCGAGACGAAGACGAAGATATAATAAAAAAGTGATAAAAGTGCTATAGTTTTAAAGTTATCACCAAAAAACTGGTTTTATAACCTTAAAATTCTTTTAAAGTTAAACGCTGTTCGATCTAGATCGAAGACATATAGTTTTTAAAGTGCATAAAGAAGCGCCCTGACGAGCTTAACAGTTTAAGCCACTCATCGGAATTTTTCGACTTCAGCGCACCGAAATATTTTCGGAAAACAAAAACCACGTGGACACGTGTTTTTTGATTGGAGGCCGTGCGGCTGATTTTAACGTCGCAAAATCAAAGAGGGCATCGAGGCAAAGCATCCGACACCTCGATCATCAAAATCGGACCAGAAACACCGGAGATATCACGCCTTGAAGAAACCGACTTTCAGGAGGGACTTTCAAAGGTGAATTACTCTGGTTTTTCAGTGACAACATATATATATATTGACTTTTATTAAAGGATTAACTTAAGTTTTAACAAATTGTATAAAAAGTTTTAATTTTGGAGTGTAATTAATAATTCTAAGGAAAATTTTAAAAATTGGCAAAAACACGTGGGTCCTGAAAAACACTACTGAAAATTCTGAAAAAATTAAGGAACATTTCTTAACCTATATATATCATCCCAGAATTATTTCAAAATTTTTCCTTCAATAGTTTACTAATTAGAGGCTTTTTGCGGTTGTTGGTTTTCATAATACAATTTTCAAAATTTCAAATCTCAAAAATTTTTTCAGGAATAAAAATCTACCTATTACAGTTTATAATACAGCAACTAATACTCTATTTACATTAATTTTTTCAGAATTTTCGGATAAGTCGTTTTAGAGTTATAAATTTATTTGTGTGAGCTGGGAGGTCCTGCAAACTGCACGATAACTGTGTTTTCAGTTTACAGGAAAACGGAGCCTCCTAGCTCAATTTTGACAATTTTTTCGGGGTACCCCCGTCATACACACACACACAAACCATGTATCGCACACCCACTACCTCTGGCGCTGCCAAAAAGCCCACCACCCCCAGCCCTGCCACCACAACAGCAGCAGTACAGGATGCTGCTAGAACTTTTATTAAGAGACCGGAAGCTAAAAGAAGATCGCTCGACAATATGGATATTTATAAAAGACAAAAAGACAACTACGCTGCATTGTCGAGCGATCAGCTCCTCCAGGAGATGATGAAAACCTTTGAGGATATACCCTCAAAGGTACAGGAGTACCCTCAGATGAGGAAGGACATCAAACATTTCCTGGAGGTGCAGTCCGACAAGGGCATAAGGACAATATTCGAGCTTAGCAGAAGAATACAAAGTCTTGAAGCAGAGGCCTTAAAAATAAGATCACCGGAAAAAAACCTTGTCGTCCAAAGGGCTTGAAAACATCATGGAGAAACTGGGGGAGGTGGAGGACTCATTGTTAGGGCGTATGAAAGAAATGGAGGAAAGTCTCAAAGCAGACATTGAGGGACTTTCAAACGCAAACGACGACCGAGGCTCTGACATGATCGACAAGATCATCGATAGGATTGATGAAACCAGGGCTGCCATAGACGAAACTACCGAAAAGGTCGAGAGTCGAACGCATGCTCTGGTTAAAGATCTTATCGGTGGTATTGCCGATGATGTCATCGCAGCCAAAAAAGACCTCATGGAGGTCACAAAAGGACTGGTATGTGAAATAAACACAGCACCGGTTCTTAAATCATATGCTAGCGTCGTAGCAACAAAACCAGCTCATCGCCCTGCATTGCACTCTATGGCGGTCACCTTCGAAGGTGGTCTGGAGACTGCTGACGAGGTGCTCGCCAGAGTGAAAAAAGCGGTCGACGCCAGGGGTACTGGCCTTAAAATCAATAAGGTTCGCAAAGCCAAAAAATCAAAAAATTATTTTGGGGTGTGACACCGAAGACGAGAGGAAAAAAGTTCAGCAAAGAATTGAGAGTCGCGGGGATGGACTCATAGTAGAGCCCATAAAAAACAAAGATCCTCTCGTCATCCTGAAAGATGTCATTATAGATAGTGAGGATGAAGATACAATTAAGGCGCTTCACGCCCAAAACAAAGATGTTTTCTTTGGCCTAAATGAAAAGGATATGGAGATGACTGTAAAATACAAAAAAACGGACAAGAAATCCGAGGACAGTCCACATCGTTCTACAGGTTAAGCCTAACGTGTGGCAGAGGATGACGGAGGCTGGAGCCCTCTATCTGGACCTTCAAAGGGTCAGAGTGGAGGACCAGTCCCCGCTCATCCAATGCACGAGATGCTTAGCGTTTGGACATGGTCGGAAATTTTGCACCGAGAGTGTGGACAGATGTAGCCACTGTGGAGGACCGCATCTCCGCGAGAAATGCGCAGACTTTTCCGCAGGGAATGAACCACAGTGCTGCAACTGCTCACACTCTGGGTTGCGGAGGACCGACCACAACGCATTTAGTGCTGACTGCCCGGTACGAAAAAAATGGGACTATTTGGCCCGTGCAAACACGGCCTATGCATGAACCATTTGCACCAAACTACACTACACGTACAAACAGACACAAAGCATACAGGAACACAAACACGACACACACAAACATGAAATACACGACAAATGAACACAACTGATATACAGAATGTATATTGAATATACACGATTGTATCAGCACAGTAACACTTACATGAATCACAAACACAAATACAAACAAATAAAAAGATGAAATAAAACTAGCAAAAGAAACGGACAATATATATATATAAACTTTGTATATATATTTTATTGCCTAGGAAATGTGACTAAAATATAAAAGGGAGTAGAAAATCAGACACAAGACAATTCACCAATCCTGTTGTATCCAAATTGTTAATTGCAAATGTTTAAAATAAATAGATATAATTTCTTACTGCTGTACAGATAATAAATATTAGAATAGAATTAAGAAACGGCAATGAAATGTTAGAAATAAGAAGTAGTAATTAAGTAAATAATGATAAGTACAATAGTTGTAAGTCAAAAATATGTAACTAAGTAAATTTGCAAGTAAATAAAATAAGTTTGTAGTATGTAGTGTAGTAATAGGAAAGCATAAAAATTGTATGTGTAAAGTGCAAGTACCAGAAATAAATAAAATGTACGAAACTTTATTTCCCAGAGAAAGAAAAATTAGGCATAGGGTAGCGGGAGTCCCACCCGGCAAAGAATGAATGTGGATGTATAAAAGAAAGAATAAGTATGCGGCCTGAAAGTGCGAATACATGCGAGAACTGGTATGTATGAGTAATATAGAATAATAAGGACCCGATGATCCCATGATCGGGGAAAAGCGTATAAAAAAAAAAAAAAAAAAAAAAAAAACCTAACCTAACCTAACCTAACCTAACCTAACCTAACCTAACCTAACCTAACCTAACCTAACCTAACCTAACCTAACCCAACCTAACCTAACCTAACCTAACCTAACCTAACCTAACCTAACCTAACCTAACCTAACCTAACCTAACCTAACCTAACCTAACCTAACCTAACCTAACCTAACCTAACCTAACCTAACCTAACCTAACCTAACCTAACCTAACCTAACCTAACCTAACCTAACCTAACCTAACCTAACCTAACCTAACCTAACCTAACCTAACCTAACCTAACCTAACCTAACCTAACCTAACCTAACCTAACCTAACCTAACCTAACCTAACCTAACCTAACCTAACCTAACCTAACCTAACCTAACCTAACCTAACCTAACCTAACCTAACCTAACCTAACCTAACCTAACCTAACCTAACCTAACCTAACCTAACCTAACCTAACCTAACCTAACCTAACCTAACCCTAACCTAACCTAACCTAACCTAACCTAACCTAACCTAACCTAACCTAACCTAACCTAACCTAACCTAACCTAACCTAACCTAACCTAACCTAACCTAACCTAACCTAACCTAACCTAACCGGTCCGGTGTCAATCGTCGTCTCGAACGCCACGTTTTTAAGTCGCTCCGCGCTTAAAAATTCGGAATAATAGGTTTTTTGCATCCGATTTTCGCGTGTGATATGTCAAAAGTTGCGTTTTGACTCGCGGTTTAAATTAGTGAAAACAGCAAGAAAATCGGGAGTTTTTGTGAAAAAGATATAGTGAAAATAGTGATTTTCAAAAATTTTAAAAACTTCAAAGTGAAACGCTGTGCGATTAATCGCCTTTACCCCTATTTTTTAAAGTGCGGCCTTAAAGCTACTCGCGGCCCCCACCCATGTGCAAAAATTGAGATTTCTCGGAGCCACAGTCTTCGAGAAAAACCCAAAAAAACAAGTGCCACGTGGGCACGTGTTTGGTGAAGCAGAGTCGTGCGGCTATTTTTGAAGTTGGATTTTAGTAGTCCGCACGGAGAGGAGCCGGGAGCAAGTTTCAGGACAATTTTAAGTTAAGTGGTTTACGAGATATTGAACTTATAAAATTTGATAAAAATTGATATCTCAATAAATTTAAAAATAAAGTGACGACCCGTTATTTTTATTTTCAAATAGTGTCAAGAAGAACATTAGGAATATATGTACAAATTTTTGGATTTTTCTAGTGAGCAGTTTTTTAGTTATAAAATTTTTAATATTTTTTAGTTAACGTGTGCTACCCCTACAATAGTAATTTATATAAATTAGGACTTTTGGACTTTGTATATTCCGTAAAATGTCTTCAAAAAGTACTTTATTTAAAACGTCTAAAGCAAAGCAAACGAAGGGACCAAGTTCAACTCCTAGTACAACCCTAAGAAAAAAAGTGCTTATGCAAAATGCGGCATCTACACAAAAAGAAGAACCTATGGCTCAATCATTCGTAGACGTGCGCACTCCCAATTTTGAAAGTGAACTTACTTTTATGGTACAATCTTCGCCGACAATTTCAAAACCATCCGTAATTACCCAGGAAACACAAGCAGAAAACGCAGACCCAGATGACAACAGTTCAGCAACTATGGATATGGAGGCTGAACTAGATATTTTAGGTATAGATAAACCAATAATCACGCGAACTGATGATGAATGGTCTGACTTGGATAGTGTGGTTAGCGGCTGTAGCAAGCGATCAAGCATTTTACCCCCGGCATACAGACGAGCAGGCATATCAATGGATCTAGCTACACAAAGAGCAAACGATTTTTTGCTCACAGGGAAGGAAGCACTTGAAAAGGCTGGGAATATGAAGCGAGAGTGCAAAACTGAGGTACATGAATGTTTGCAAGGAATGTATGAGATCGCCCTCTCACTCTCTGGTTCGAGATCCCGGCACCGCTTGTCTTTGGAACAAGAGCGCAGTAGAGCAGCCAAAGAACTAGTAAGAGTCGAAAGAGCTCATAATAAACAATTAACAGAACTACATACAAAATATACGCACAAACTTAACGAAGCATACGAAGCCATCCAAGAGACAAATAAAGCTGTTGAGGCTATCCGTGGTTGGCTTAATTTTGAAATGGATGGAGCACTAAAAACGATTCAAAATATACAAAAGGAGCTACATATATCAAATGCAAAACCTATTCTAGAACCAGCTACCGATAAAGCCAATGGGAATGGATACGAAATAGAAGAGAAGCTGACAAATATTTCATCTCAAGCTTATGAAGCTATACAACATATTAAAGACCTTCATTCAGCATTTGAGCGAATAATGAACAGAGAGCAGACCCACGTCACTCAGCCACAAGTCCTGGAATATAAAAATAGCTTTTTAGAGTCACAGTTGAACTCAATTTCAATTCTTGTCACAGAAACAAAGCATTTAATCAAAGAATTACAGAGCAGACCTAATGTCATAAAACAAACTGAAGAGGTACAAAGTGAACAAACAAAAATAATAACCGACACACTAACTCAACAAATCAATAAAATGATTATTGAACTGAACGACATAAAAGAACTGGAACTGAGTCAAATAGCTTGCCAAGGAAATCCTGGTATCGGTGCCGAGCTCATTATGGTAGAAATAAGGGAAAAGTTAAGCGAAATCCTGAATCAATGCTGCGGGACAGCAACATCGACAAACACACCCGCCACCAACATTGCTGAGGGTATTATAAGCAAAAAAACTGACCGAAAGGCAGATATAATAAAAGAGTCTACACCACCTGGAGCTCCCACGCGCTCTTATGCAGAGGTGTTGGCGAGGCCTCACTTTGCTCTAATCGTAGAATCCGCTGACCCCAGACACACTAGTGATGACGTGGCAAAAACAGTCAAGAGCCATGTTGATGTTGTGGAGCTTGGATTAGGAGTGAACAACGTTAGAAAAATCAAAAATCAAAAAATTATTATATCTTGTGATAGCGAGGATGACAGAAGCAAACTGCAGGAGGCAATAAAGAACTCGGACCAAAAATTAACCGCTGCGAAAACAGTATCTAAACAGCCTTTGCTTAAATTAGTCGGAGTAATAAACGATCTGGACAATAGTAAAATTGCAGATGCGGTATTTAAACAGAACTCTAAACTACTATCCGACATAAAACCAAGCGAAAAAAGGCTAAAAGTACTAAGGCGGACAAAGGGTCGCACAAAGGAAATTACTAATATTATATTAGAAGTAAGTCCCCCTATTTGGAAAGCACTAAGGAATCAAAAGCTGCATATTGGGTACCAAATAGTATTAGTGGTGGACCAATCCCCGATTATCCAATGTTACCGGTGTATGGGATTTGGTCACAGAGCCGTGGAATGCAGAGCGGAGGAACCCAAATGTGGATTTTGTGCATTGAATCATGATACTCGGGAATGCCCAAATAGAAATAAAAACTCAACATGCGTCAACTGCAGATCTAAAAAATTTGATGACGTATCCCATACAGCATATAGCGCTACATGCCCGGAATGGAAAAGATGGGATCGGATAGCGAGATCCTTAATAGCTTACTGTTAAGTTCGACGCGGTAGTCTCTTCTGATAACACATTACTTAAAGTTCTGCAGTGTAACCTTGGTAGGGGTCTCGTAGCTACACAGGAGTGCTTACAAAACGCTACAAGAAATAAAACATCTATTGCACTTCTCCAAGAACCGTATGTAGGTGCATCGGGTAATGTGAATATATCATACAAAACAATTCAGAAAATAGATAATCGATCTAAGCCTGTAAAGTCTGCTGTTGTTGTCATTGACCCCAATATATTAATAATCGAAGATAGTAAATTTATCACAGAAAATACAGTAGGTGTTATTATTGTAAATAAAAATAATAGTATAGGATTGATCTCGATATACTGGGAAGACTATGAAAACATCGAAAATTACATACAGCAATTGAATACTATTATTAAAAATATGAATACACCTTTTATCATTATTGGAGGCGACTGCAACTGTAATAGTCAATGGTGGGGATGTGACAATGAGGATGCCAGAGGAATATTGCTCTCGGAGTTCCTTGCTGAAGCAAGTTTGGAAATTATTAATGAAGGCCGTACTCCTACATTCTATACCATAAGACAGGGAGCAGAATGCAAGAGCATAGTAGATATAACAGTTTGCTCTGTACCTACTATGACTAAGATACTGAACTGGACAGTCAACCCAAACATAGTCACCACCTCAGATCATAGAGCAATAACTTTTGACATATGCATAGGTCCTGAAGAAACAAGGAAGGGGATTAGAAAATCTACCAGGATTTACAATTCCACTAAGGCCGACTGGAATAGATTTAATAAAGAACTTATAACAAATTTGGAAAATGAAGGATTAAATACGAAAGAAGTGACACACATACAGACTGGAAAATATCTCGAAGACGCTATATTAAAATTAAATAAATGCATAACTAAAGCCTGTGATAAATCTATGCCCAAACTAACAAATACCAAATTCATCAAGAAGATCAAATGGTGGAACAACGAACTAGACCTAAAGAAGAAGAAAGTTATAAGGCTAAGACGCAAAATACGACATGCCAACGAGAACAGAAAACCTTATATTATAGATGATTACTTAAGAGCGTTATCTGATTACAAAGAAACCATATTAAGGACGAAAACAAATAGTTGGAAAGAATACTGCACAGGACAATCACGAGAGACTATGTGGGACAAATTCTATAGAATATCCAAGCTCACCGATTTTCATCTTAATGAAGAGATGCTAAAAGATTCAGACGGAAATATATTAGACCCATTTCAATCCGCAGATCTTTTGGCTAACACATTTTATCCAGCTGATAATATTGACAACGACACAGAATACCATACAAGAATACGAGAGGACACAAACACAATAGAAAGTCAAATAAAAATGATAAAACAGTCTACAGAATTCACACCCTTCACAACCTATGAAATTAGTACGGTTATTGAAAATATTAGACCATCCAAAGCGCCTGGCCTGGACGGATTTACGGCAGACATATGCAACGCCAGTATTAAGACCGCTGCAGAACTAATTTTGGAATTAATGAACAGATGTTTATTCATAGGATACTTTCCTAAAATTTGGAAAATTGCAATCATACGTATTGTAAGAAAACCGGGTAAGGACAACTACACAAGCCCCAAGGCGTACAGACCTATTGGCTTACTCCCGGTAATGGGGAAGGTACTTGAAAAAATGATAACAAATAGATTAACTTGGTTTCTAGGAAACACTAACAAATTAAGCACAAGACAATACGGATTTATGCCCCAGACTAGTACCGAAGATGCATTGTATGATGCTGTCACTTTGATAAGAGATAAACTTAAGAAACGAAAAATTATAGCTGTCATTTCTCTAGATATCGAAGGGGCATTTGACAACGCCTGGTGGCCTGTTATTAAAAAGCAACTCTTTGAAAATAAGTGTGATCCATATATATTAGCAACCATTTTCAGTTACCTTAACGAGCGCTCTGTTGAAGTACACTACGCCGGTACAAAGATCACTAAGCCAACTAATAAAGGATGCATTCAAGGATCCACGTGTGGACCACTGATGTGGAATATCCAGCTTGACCCTTTGTTAAAAACAGCGGATTCATTAGAAGCGCACATCCAGGCCTTTGCAGATGATATATTGTTAATTGCGGAGGCAGATACAGCTAGAGAATTAGAAAGAAAAACTAACGAAGCTTTATTAAAAATATCAGAATGGAGTGTACGAAATAAAATGAAATTTGCTGCCCACAAGACAAAAGTAATAATAGTAACGAAGAAGCTAAAATATGATACACCAACTTTTGTACTAAATAACACAACACTTAATATAGGAAGTGATATTACAGTTTTAGGATTAACAATCGATAGTAACTTGAATTTTAACAAACATTTGGACAGGACAATACAAAAAGTAACAAATATATACAAAAGCATTACTAGAGCCGCTAAATCTACATGGGGACTTAATAGTGAAATATTAAGAATCATTTATATAGCAGTAATTGAACCAATTATTTTATATGCAGCAAGTTCCTGGGATCAAGTTATTGATAAAAAATATATTAAATTGAAATTGGACCGCATAACGAGAATGTTCGCATTACGTATTGCAAAGGCGCATAAAACTACTTCCTGTGTAGCAAGTACGCTTTTGGGTAAGATACTCCCTTTAGATTTAAGAGTAAGGGAAACGGCTGAATTTCACAGAGCTAAAAGAGGAAAGCCCCTGGATATTCTCCTCGATAGGCCTATAGAAAGTCAAGTCAGTGTGTTTAATTTACCTTCACCTCCAAAAAGACAGCCTTTGTCGTTTAAGGAAGTTTATAAAGAAGAAGACCTAAAAGAAATTGGAATGCATTTACCACAATTGTTTACAGATGGTAGTAAGATAGAAGGTAAGGTGGGAGCGGCTGTTGTGTGGTATGAGAACGGTAAAGAAAAATTAAATTCAAACTTTAAGCTGGATAACCACTGCTCTGTATTCCAGGCTGAATTAGCAGCAATACTTCGAGCTGTTGATCTTACAATTCGCAAAACACAGTTAAAAAGAACGCAAGTATTAAGCGACTCGAGGTCTGCACTGGAATCTGTCTGCAATCCGCATAATACCCATCCGATTGTAGTAGAAATTAATAAAAAAATATCTGAGATACACGAAAATGGAGGACAAATACAATTGTTTTGGATAAAAGCCCACTCTGGACTAGACGGCAATGAGCGAGGCGACGAATTGGCCAAAAAAGGCAGCTTTACATAAGAAAACTGCACCTGTGTATGATAAAGTCCCAGTTTCCTTTGTCAAGTGGTCCCTTAGAAATATAACAATAGCGGAATGGCAACAGCGATACATGAAAGAAGAAGCAGGAGCGATAACCAAGCTATTCTTTGATGATGTTCGTCGAAGCCATAAAATACTGTTGAAATTAAAAACAACAAACTTACTAACGCAAATATTCACAGGACATGGTGGGTTCGGTGAATATCTTCACAGATTTAAATTGAAAGACACAGCAGTATGTAAGTGTGATAGAACGAGTATCCAAACTATTACCCACTTACTAGACGAATGTCAAATTTTTTGATTCCTGGAGATGGGAAGTGGAACAAAAATTAGGAACAAAAATAAAAAGTAATAATTATAAATTATTTGTAAGTGACGACGTCAAAAGAGATCTTTTTGTAAGGTACGCTAAAAATGTAGTTAAAAGAGTTAATGAATGGAATGGCGGATGCATGAAATTACTCGATTAACAAGTAGAGAAACATGAACAGAAGAGACGTAAACGACGATCATTGGCACGACAAATTAATAACACAAAATAAAATAAGAAAAAAAAATATGTATAAAGAATTATAAAAAAAAGTAAAGAAGAAAAGATGCTGCAAAATAAACAGCAGCAGTTACAATAGGAAAAAAAAAAAAAAAAAAAAAAAAAAAAAAAAAACCTAACCTAACCTAACCTAACCTAACCTAACCTAACCTAACCTAACCTAACCTAACCTAACCTAACCTAACCAGTTGCGCTCCAAACGCCGTCTCGAACGCAGCATTTTTAAACCGCTCCGCGTCTTATAAATCAAAGTTGTGGATCAAATTGTTCAAATTACGAAGTGTGATACACCGAAAGATTCGTCTCAATGAGACAAACATAGTGAAAAAGTGGAAAAAGTGCGGAAAATAAAAAGTTTACACGGAAAAACCATTTTTTCCTAACCTCAAAAACTTAAAAGTAAAACGCTGCCTAAACTAAATCGACAACATAGTGGTTTTTGAGTGTCGTTAGAAGCGCCCTGATTAGCTCTAACTTTTTGAGCAATCAGAAAAATTTTTCGACGCTCGCGCACGGAAATATTACCAAAATTAAAAAACCACGTGGCCACGTGTTTTAAGACCTGAAGGTGTGCGGCTGAATTTGACGACGGTTTTACAAAGAAGACGGCAAGACAAATCGTTTGACACCTTGCCCAAAAAATTTGGTCAAGAAACAAAGAAGATACGACGCAGTGAAGTTACCGAATTTCAGTCAAAAAAATTTAAAAGTAAAAACTTTTAATTTTCAGTGAGGACATATATGTTTTTTGACGTCATATGAAAGAGCATTTCAAGACCTACAAGAAGACACCAAAATTTTGAAATTTGGAGTGCAAAAAAGTAAATTGTAAGAGACTTTTTATTATTAAGTTAAACCACGTGGTGTCCTGAAAGTGCGCCTGAAAAATCTGAAAAAATACATAAAGGTAGGAAATACTTAATTATATTAACCCAAATTTTTTCAAAATTTTCCTACAGTTAATTTTCGGATTAGGCTCTTTTTGCGGTTCTTGGTTTTTATAAGTCGTTTTTCAAAATTAAAAATTTCCAAAAATTTCCAACAAAAAATATTTTTCAAAATTACTTTAATATTCCCTATTTAATAAGCTACTCAAAACATATTTTTTCAGAATTTTAGAGCAAGTACTTTCAGAGATACGAATTTATTTGTTTGGGCTGGGAGGTTCTGAAAACTGCACGATAACTGTGTTTTCAGTTTTCAGGAAAACGGAGCCTCCTAGCTCAATTTTGACATTTTTTTTCGGGGTCCCCCCCCGTCACCCTCCCCACACTACCCAGTAAACGGGTAGTCTTCGACCCCCACCGGATCATTTGGACATAGTTTCAACCCCCTACCCCTAAGTTGACCTCTGGACTTGGAGACCTTGGACCCAAACTGTCTCTGGGGGATGAAAAACATCAAACACTAAATTATATTACAAAAACCGGTGGGACTAGTCGAACGGGGGTTTGTGAATACCTAAATTTGTAGACGTCCAAATCTGTATCTATATAGACTGTACATAGAGACATTTTATATTTTTTTTTTTCTTTTATTTTTTTTTTTTATATTTTATTTTATAATTTTGTTTTTAAAACTTTTTAATTTAAGTTATAGAATTTAACTTCTAATTGGTGGTGTACTTTAGGTAAAAACTCGATAGAGCCGGACTCTTGATAGAGCCGGGCCCTTGTGAGAGTCGGACTCTTGATAGAGCCAGAGTCTTTTAGAGCTGAACTCTTGATAGAGCCGGACTCTCGATAGAGCCGGACTCTTAATAGAGCCGGACTCTTGATAGAGCCAAATTTTGTAGAGCCGGACTCTTGACTGGTAGAGTCAAGTATTGTTTAAATAATTTTATTTTACTTTTGTTTTTATTGCTCTCTTGTTATCTGCCTACTAACACCACTTACAAAGAGACTCTACATAGAGTCATAAGGAGAGCTGGTAGATCTGGACTCTACCATATTTTATTTTTCGACTAGTTTTTAGTTCATAGCTGACACAGACCCCCCTTTACAGGGTCTAACAAACATCACACCGACCCCCCTTTACAGGGTTACATAAGGACAACGTTCCCCGATCCTTACACAACTTACACTATATACTACTCATACACATCCACACAGAACAATGTATCGCACACCCACTACCTCTGGCGCTGCCAAGAAGCCCACCACCCCCAGCCCTGCCACCACAACTGCAGCAGTACAGGACGCTGCAAGAACTTTTATTAAAAGGCCGGAAGCCAAGAGAAGATCGCTCGACAACATGGACATCTATAAAAAACAAAAACACAATTACGCTGCATTGTCGAGCGATCAGCTCCTCCAGGAGATGATGAAAACCTTTGAGGATATACCCTCAAAGGTTCAGGAATATCCTCAGATGAGGAGGGATATTAAACATTTCCTGGAGGTGCAGTCTGATAAGGGGATAAGAGCTATCTTCGAGCTTAGTAGACGCATTCAATGCCTCGAAGCAGACGCCCCTAAAATGGTATCACCATCAAAAACCTTGGCTTCCGAAGGGCAAGACAACATCATAGAAAAACTGGGAGAGGTGGAAGCGACGCTGACAGAGCGTATAAAAGAGATGGAGCGAAGTCTGAAGGCAGACATAGAGGCACTCCACAATAACAACGACGACCGAGGCTCTGACATGATCGACAAGATCACCGATAGGATCGATGAAACCAGGGCTGCTATAGACGAAACGACCGAAGTGGTCGAGAGTCGAACGCACGCCCTGATCAAAGATCTGATCGGTGGTATTGCCGATGATGTCAGTACTGCCAAAAAGGAAATTCTGGAGGCCACAAAAGGGCTGGTATGCGAAATAAACGCAGCACCAGTCCCTAAGTCGTACGCCAGCGTCGCAGCAGCCAAACCGGTCCACCGCCCTGCACTTCACTCAATGGCGGTCACCCTCGAAGGTGGTCTGGAGACCGCTGACGAGGTGCTCGCCAGGGTGAAGAAAGCGGTTGACGCCAGAGGTACTGGCCTTAAAATCAACAAGGTTCGCAAAGCCAGGAACCAAAAAATCATACTGGGGTGCGACACCGAAGAGGAGAGGACGAAAGTCCAAAAGATAATAGAAAGTCGCGGCGAGGGACTAAAAGTAGCGCCAATAAAAAATAAGGACCCTTTAGTTATATTAAAAGATGTTTATTTGGACAATGAAGAAGAAAACATAATTAAGGCGCTACACGCCCAGAACAAAGACGTTTTCATTGGCCTAACGGAAGAAGACTTAGAAATGATAATAAAATTTAAAAAGAGGACAAGGAACCCGAAAACCGTTCACGTCATTTTACAAGTAAAGCCTAATGTTTGGCAGAGGATGACGGAGGCTGGAGCCCTCTATCTAGACCTACAAAGGGTCAGAGTCGAGGACCAATCGCCGCTCATCCAATGCACCAAATGCCTTGGATATGGACATGGTCGGAAATTTTGCACCGAGAGTGTGGACAGATGTAGTCACTGTGGAGGACCGCATCTGCGCGAAAAATGCGCAGATTTTATCGCAGGTAGTGAACCACAGTGCTGCAACTGCTCACACTCTGGGTTGCGGAGGACCGACCATAATGCATTTAGTACTGAATGTCCGGTGCGAAGAAAATGGGACTTCCTGGCCCGTGCAAATACGGCCTATGCTTGAACGGTTTATGACAAAAAACACTACACAAACAGACAGCCACAAAGCACACAGGAACACAGACACGACATACACAAACAGGAAAAACAAGACAACGAACACAAACTGATATACAGAATGTATATTGAATATACACGATTATATCAGCACAGTAACACTTACATGAATCACAACACTAACACAACACAAAAGAACAGAATGAAATAAAAACTAGTAAAAGAAGAGGACAATATATATATATATAAAATTTGTATATATACTATATTGCCTAGGAAAGCGAGACAAACAGATAGAAGGATGTATAAAAGTAGACACATGACAGAATTCACAAATCCTGATATGTGCATAAATATTAAGACCTTCAAATTGCTAATTTAAAAATGTTTAAAATAAATAGATATAAGTTTTTACTATTATACAGATAATAAATATAAGAATGAAAATGGTAGAAATAAGATGATAGAAAATATTAGGTATATATAGATGTTAGACTTATACATGTTAAAATAGAATTAAGAAACAGAAATTGTAGAAATTAAGAAATAAGTATAAGTATAATAGTGTAAGTCAATAAATATGTAAGCAAGTAAGTTTATAAGTTAAATAAAAATAAGCATGTAGCATGTAGTGTAGTGATTGATAGTATATAGAAAATGTAAATACTATCGAAGACAAAACAGAAATAAAAATATGTACGAAATTTTATTTTCCCAAAGAAAAATAAATAATTAGGCATAGAATAGCGGGAGTCCCACCCGGCAAAGAATGAGCGTGGATGGATAAAAGAAAGAATAAGTATGCGGCCTGAAAGTGTGAATAAATGCGAGAACTGGAATGTATGAGAAATTTAGACTAACAAGGACCCGATGATCCCATGATCGGGGGAAAAGCGATTAAAAAAAAAAAAAAAAACCTAACCTAACCTAACCTAACCTAACCTAACCTAACCTAACCTAACCTAACCTAACCTAACCTAACCTAACCTAACCTAACCTAACCTAACCTAACCTAACCTAACCTAACCTAACCTAACCTAACCTAACCTAACCTAACCTAACCTAACCTAACCTAACCTAACCTAACTGAATAATTGAACTTTTAAATTTAGTTAAATTTTCAAAACTTTATATTTCAAAATTTAAAGCGAAGACCCCTAGTTTTTATACTGAAATAGTGTTAAGGTTAATATTATAAAGATACATAAAAATTTTCAGATTTTTATTGTAAGTAGTTTTTTAATTAGGATTTTTTAAATTAATTTGTTGACCACGTGCTACCCTATTATAACGTGTTTCTAGGTATAAAAATATATATTTTATTTTTTTTACCTGAAACCTAGAATTTTATACCTAGAATTAAAGATACCTATAGTATTGTACATACATTTTTGTAGAATTCTAAAACTAAAATTTGGCCATAAAAATCAAAAGTTTATAAAAAGTTTTACAATTTTTGTTAAAAATTAATTCAAAGGGGGCTTAAAACGCCAAAATACTTATTTATGTGTTATCTCGACACCGAGACCTTTTAAATGAGCCCAAACACGGCCCAAATCGGTTAAAAGTCGCCTGAAATAACGTATAGTGGTCGCCATCTTTGCCCGCCATTTTGGAAAACTGCAAAGTCTTATAACTCCAGAACTATAAGTCGGATTTCGACGCGGTTTTCGACATTGGATTTGGCATCACTACCTCCACATTTGTGGACACTCAAAAATATTCTTTATACTAAAGTACATCATGTCAGACAAGGGCAAGAAAACTGTAGCTGGTCACCCAGAAAAACTTGTGGCCTCCAAAAAGAAAACCTTAACAAGGAGCACAAAGGACTTTAGTAAAAAAAAGCAACGGAGGAAATGATCCAGCAAGCGCTGAACGACAATCCCTCAGATCCTACAGATAAAAACATGGTGGAGCAACCCGAAAAACTTCAAGCTGAAGATTGTGGTGGAAAGAATGAACCAGAACCGATCACACAGGAGCCGTTCACCATTTCGCCAAATCTTGATGAAGCAACCACGTCCTCCCCAGTGCTTGCAAGATCTGAATCAAGCCTCCTACGAATCCGTGCTCAGATCAGACACGCGAAAACTGTGGAGACCAAGGACGGTCTAAGAGCCATGTCAGAAGCTGAAGACACAGCGGAGTCGGACGTTGACAGTGGGGATACCAACACCTCTCTTGACGCTTCCACGAGATCGATTTCGGGTACCCGAATGCTTTTGAATGAGCTACCCAAGCACGCAAACCAAGTACTTCAGCGGGCTAAAACAGATCTTGAAAAATCTGGCAACTTAAAGAGAGAGATTCGGGAGAGTGTTGTTTCAGGGTTATACACTTTATATGAGATGATACTTAAGCTGTCGGACTCAAGAACGCTACATATGCTTGAGTCAAACAAACAGAAATTAAACGTTTCTCGAGAATCCGAAAGGCTCACCCAAAGGCATGCTAGGTTTATGCACGAAACCTTGGGACAATATGCCCTCTTAAAAGAGAATATAGAGAAACTCCAAAAAGAAACTGAATCGACACGACTCATTCTCTCCTATGACCTCTGCGAGGCAATCACCGCAACAAAGCGAGAACTTGCCAGTGTTAAAAATGAGATTACTGCAGGTTCGTCTCTGACAAGTCAAATATTATCATTAAGAGATGAACTAAGGCAGCTCAAAGATAATATAAGTAACCGTCATGACTTCAATTGACAGGAGTTTGACATTTCACCTCTTATCAAAGAAATGCAAGACTTCCGTTGCACACTTGACGAACTTGTATTAAAAAAGGAACTTTATCAGGCCCCTATTGTTAATCCATTCCCCGATACCCAACATAAAGAAGAGTTCGCCCAACACACAAAAACCTCAGATCACCTGTTACAGCACTTGGCAGAAATAAAGACACAGCTAAGCTCTGAGGTAAATGAGCTTAGACAAAAAATCCTTGATTTGTCACAAGACTTACAAGGATTAATGACCATCAACTTCAACTCTTCATTACCCTCGGTACAAGCTAGTATTGAGGAATTACGAAAGGAGACCAAAGAGCTCAGGGACACAACAGTAGACTCTGCAGCTCCCATTCGAGTGGCAATAGAGGGCCTCAGGAAAGAAATCAAAACCATGTCACAAACAGATGAAACGGAACAGACATGTTATAAATTCCAATTCCCTGAGGACAACTTATACACTGGTGAACCAAAACGTCAAACATCAATGTTTGGACAAAAGACTACTTCACGTACCTTCTCCGAAGTAGTTAGGAAACCACATTATCCTATAATAGTAGGATCCATCGATCCCAGAAATACTAGCGAGGATATAATAAAGGAAGTAAAGAGTGGGATTGATGTGGTTGCACTTGGAATAGGAATCAATAATATCAAAAAAGCAAGAAACCAAAAAGTGCTAATCAGCTGCGAATCCGAAGGAGACAGAAATATCCTACAGGATAATTTAAAAAACGCAACGGCCAAATTTACCGTCTATAAACCAACATCAAGGAATCCTCTCTTACGCTTGATCGGAGTCATCTTTGACCTAACGGATAAAAAGATTGAGGAAGCCATCATAAAGCAAAATAACGCTCTCCTTAAGGATATCTCACCAGCGCAGCAACATATAAGGGTAATTAGAAGAACGAAAGGACGCACAAGTTCTACTTGTAACATTGTCTTAGAGGTGAGTCCACAGATTTGGGCAAAGTTCAGAGACCAAAAGATCGGAGTTGGTTTTCAAATAGTCCCAGCCGTCGACCAATCACCTATCACTCAATGCTTTCGGTGTCTGGGTTTCTCTCATCATGCAAAGGAGTGCAAGGCGCAGAGAGTAAGCTGTGGCTACTGTGCTGAGGCACATGATACGAGAGAATGCCATAACAGAAATAAGTCACCAAAATGCATAAATTGCATCGATAAAAAAGCCAATGACCAAAGCTGTAGTCACCCAGCCTATAGTCCTGAGTGTCTGGAATGGAGAAAGTGGGACAGAATCGCGAGAGCAACCATATCGTATTGCTAAGGGCAACGAAATCTCTCCCCAAAAGACCACAAATACCATAGGCGGAACTATCAAAATGGCCCAAATAAATCTAGGGAGAGGACACGCAGCCCAACAAGAATGTCTGCAAATGGCAGTTGCACAGGGTGTGTCCATTCTCTTATTACAGGAGCCTTATGTCGGAGCGAAAGCTCACGTCACCTGTCAATATAAAACTATTCAAAAACACACTAACGATAATCAAAAACCGGTCAAAGCGGCTGTAATTGTCGTTGATCCAACAATACATTTTACCATTAACTCCGAAACCATCACTGAAAATATTGTAGCTTGTAAATTTAGCATTAAAGGCTTAGACATTGTCATAATAAATGTATATCTAGAAGAAGGTCAAGATGTTGAAGAAGACTTTTGCAAGATAGCAAATTACATCAGCATTCTAGAAGGAAAACATGTGCTTCTTGGAGGAGACATCAATGGCAAAAGTCCCTGGTGGGGTTGTGATGTGGAAGATAGAAGGGGAGCAGCTGTGGCAGAAGCGTTAGCTCAACTGGAACTCCACGTCCTAAATGTGGGAAAGACGCCAACATTCTCTGTATATAGACAACAAAAACATTACACTAGTATTGTCGACGTGACAGCGTGCACTACTAGCTTGCTTCGCAAATCTTTTGATTGGAAGGTGAATCCCGAGTTAGTTACACTTTCAGACCACCGAGCGATAACGTACAACCTGAAATTCGCAAACGTCGCAAGCGAAACAAAAGAAAGACGATCCACACGCACTTACAACACAAACAAAGCTGACTGGAACAAATTTTCTGACAACTTTAAAGAGGAACTATGCTCCGTAAACATAACCGAGGACATAATATCAACGATAGAATCCATAGAAGGAATGGAAACCCTTGTAAGACTATACACTAAATGCATACAAATTTCATGCGACAAAACTATTCCTAAAATTGCTAAGAATGTACCCACAAAAACACCTTGGTGGACCAAAGAACTTAGCGATAAGAAAAAAGATGTCACTCGAATAAGAAGAAAGATAAAATTCGCAAACCAAAGGAGGAAACCAATCATCATAGAGGAATATATCACAGCCAAAGCGGAATATAAAAACCTAATAACAGAGACGATGACGGCCAGTTGGAAGGAGTTTTGCTCTAGGCAGGACAAAGAGAATCTGTGGCAGAGCATCTACAGAGTAATACGCAAATCCAGTAAAACTCCAGAAGACTCACTTTTAAGAGCAACGCCGGAAAGCGGAATTTTGACCCCGGATAAATCTGTTCAGCTCCTAGTTGAAACATTTTACCCAATTGACGAAATAATAAGTGATGAACCTCAACATACGGAAAGTAGAAACAGATCTACTGTAACCAGAAAAGATCTGCTGAACATCACAAATGAAGAAACTGTGATTCCTTTCACACTAACTGAGATCGACTATGTCTTCAGTAAAATGAGTCCAAAGAAATCACCAGGGGAAGATGGACTAACAGCTGATATATGTTTCAAGGCGTATATGACGGCACCTCAGGTACTATCAGCCATATACAATAGGTGCTTCATCCTAGGGTACTTCCCACAGATTTGGAAACAGGCTTTTGTCAAAATCATCCCGAAGCCGAATAAGGAGAATTATACACTAGCTAAATCCTACCGGCCAATAGGACTCCTACCTGTACTGGGTAAGGTTTTTGAAAAACTATTTGTCAACCGAATGACATGGCAGCTCGGCTCAGAAAATAAGATGAGTGGTCGGCAGTATGGGTTTGTCTCACAGAGAGGGACTGAGGATGCCCTGTATGACGCCCTCGAGATTGTCAAGCAAGGAAGAAAGAATAAAGAAATTGTCGCTCTTGTCTCTATCGATATCGAAGGAGCTTTCGATAATGCTTGGTGGCCTGCAATGATAAATGAGCTCGAGAGGAAAAAAGTCGACAGATCAGTATGCAGGCTCATTAACAGTTATCTCACTGATAGGCAAGTAAAAATCACGTATGCAGGCAGCGAGATAATTAGGCAAACAAACAAGGGATGCATACAAGGATCAACTTGCGGACCTTTGTTGTGGAACCTGCTAATTGATCCACTTCTAAGGGAGATAGAAGATCTGGGCACCCACATACAGGCGTATGCAGATGACATATTGGTCATAGCGAAAGGGAAAACAGCAAAGGACCTAGAACACGAACTCAACACAGTATTGGATCACATCCTTGTATGGGCAAAAACGCGGAAAATGAAATTGGCGGCTCAGAAAACCCAAGCAATCCTATTCACTAGAAAACTTAAGTACGAAACACCAAAATTACACCTTGATAATGCTCCAATAACGTTTTCAGAAAGAATAACAATCCTTGGACTAACGATCGATGCTAATCTTAATTTTATAAACCATATGGACAAGATAACAGAAAAGGCTATCCAACTCTACAAGAAAGTCTCAAGAACAGCAAGGGCAAACTGGGGTCTCAATCCTGAAATTCTAAGAACGATATATATTACGGTAGTAGAACCCACAGTACTGTACGCGGCAGGAGCATGGGGCTCGACAGCAAGTAGGCAAATTAAATCCAGGCTTGACAGAATTACCAGAGTCTTCGCAATAATAATTAGTAAAGCACATCGTACGGCATCCTTAATATCCTGTACAACTCTGGCCAGAATTCTCCCCCCTTGACTTAAGAGCTCAAGAAAATGCCGAGATCTATATGATAAAGAGAGGGAAACCTATTGCGCATTTACCTGGCAGGAAACTAGCCAAACCCATAAGCCCTCACACGCTACCACACCCAGCAGACAGAATAAGGCAACAGTACGGGATGATAACATCAGAAAATGACGTAAAAGCTATCGAAAACAATTGGCCACGCATATACACCGATGGCAGCAAAATCGCAGGTAAAGTAGGCGCTGCCATCACTTGCTGGAAGGACGGAGCAGAAATACTTAAAAGTAAATTAAAATTAGAGAACTATTGCAGTGTCTACCAAGCAGAGCTCGCAGCCATTTTAAAAGCCACAGAAGCCATGTTGGGCAGGAAATCACTTAAAAAAGCAAATATCCTGAGTGACTCGCGGTCAGCGTTAGAATGCCTCACCAACCCCAACACCTTACATCCTATAGCTGCAGAGATCTTAGACCGTATCTCGGAAATAGAAAGGAAACAGGGAAAAGTGGGATTGTATTGGATAAAAGCCCACTGTGGAATTCAGGGGAATGAAAGGGCTGATGAACTGGCCAAGTCGGCAGCGGAAACGTCTAAGCAGACGCCTGTGTACGACTGCTTCCCTCTATCCTTTGCACAGCGCCACATCAGGGATAACACTTTGCAGACATGGCAAGAACTATATACTACATCACAAACTGGAAGAGTCACGAAGAAGTTTTTTCCAGACGTAATCCAGGCATATTCAACTGTAAAGAAGATAAAAATAAATAATTTAAGATGTCAAATTTTTACGGGACACGGAGGTTTTAAAGCATATTTGCACAAATTTAAATTAGCTCAAAGCCCACACTGTGAATGTGACCACGTAACACTACAGACCATAGAACATATTCTAATAGACTGCCCTAAATACGCGACTCTAAGACATTGTTGCGAACACCGTATGGGCTTTCTGATAAAAGAAGATACTCTGTGTAGGGCGGTCAACGACAATGACAGTCGCACTCATTTTCTTGTATACGCCGAAAGGTGTTTGAGAAAAGTGCTACAAGAAAATGGGTCAAAAATATATTGATATATTTAATACAGAAAAAAAAATTGTTGTAGTAGTAAATATACATAGTTTCTACAAATATGTGTACCATTAGATAATAATAATTATATTAGGGTAATAATTATAATAAGGTTGTATATAACGATAAGTACAATAAGCTAGATATTTATAGTTGTAACAAAAATACCAATAGCGCATAGAATCAGAAAAACTAGCAGTAATTAGCGGTATAGATGAATGTATCTAACCTAATAACGGCAAATTGTAAAATAAGACAAAATATTGCATATAGTACTAATAATTAATATAAATAAGTAATAAGTAGATAGAATACAACAAGGCAGGCACACGCAAGAATCAAACTTAAAATTATAATATCTTTAACAAGATTTTTTTTATATAGCTGCTGGAAATATTGTGCAGTTGTGTCTAATTGTGATAAGGCAAGAATATTGTAAAGTAAATAAATAAATAAAAAAATAATATATAAAAAAATAAAAAAAAGAGAGAGAAACACAACACAGGTAAAAAAAAACAGATATCAAGGGTGCTGTAAAAGAAACAACAGCAGATGAAATGAGAAAAAAAAAAAAAAAAACCTAACCTAACCTAACCTAACCTAACCTAACCTAACCTAACCTAACCTAACCTAACCTAACCTAACCTAACCTAACCTAACCTAACCTAACCTAACCTAACCTAACCTAACCTAACCTAACCTAACCTAACCTAACCTAACCTAACCTAACCTAACCTAACCTAACCTAACCTAACCTAACCTAACCTAACCTAACCTAACCTAACCTAACCTAACCTAACCTAACCTAACCTAACCTAACCTAACCTAACCTAACCTAACCTAACCTAACCTAACCTAACCTAACCTAACCTAACCCATATTGCATTCACACTCATATCGTTTTTTTCCAAATCGCGGACAGTCTATAATTAAATGTTCTATTGTTTGTTCTGTGCTGTGATCGCATGTGCAATACGGGGATGGTGAAATCTTAAATCTAAAGAGATAGGCCTTATTGCCTCCGTGACCAGTGAACAATTGAGTTACAATATTTGTAATTTTTATATTTTTTAAAATCTTATAAGCTGTTACAACGTTTGGGAAGAAAGTTCTTATAGTTCCACTGGTTGCTGCTTCTTCATATCTGCTTTGCCATCTTCGTAGAGTGTTGCTCCTGGTGAGGTGTTTGGCGTAAGACAATGGGAATAAGTCATAGCACGTAAGAACTTAAGTACTATTATGGGGGACATCGATTGCAGATATCACTTCATACACTTTGCTCTCTCAATATTAAAAGTTATTAATAAAGAGAATGGGAGCACTGTAATAGAATAAATTTAAGGCTCTGCAAGAGTCCCCAAAATAGGACTAGTTATAGTTATAAGTGCGAACTGTTACTAAAATACAGTAATGTAATAGTAATAATGTGTTAAGTGCATGGAAAATAATAAAATTAGTTTAATAATAACTTGTAAGGAAAAAAAAAGAAAAAAAAAAGTTCTAGCAGATTTTCTTAAGGATTGTCACAAAAATAGGACTAGATAAGTGTAGAAAGCAAAGCCTTATACTGAGGTTTAGGTTACTTATTCATTCCGATCATGAAAGAAATAGACTTACCCCTACTGTACTTGCGATGAAAGCATAGATTAAAAAAAAAAAACTATCTGAGTTCGACTGCAGTATGGGAATGGATATAGACTAAGAAACAGTTTTATTATGGTAGATGACTATTGCAGATCTTACTTTATGCGTGAATTCGCAACAGTGTAAGAATATAGTTCCTAAATACAAATATGTAAAAGTAATAATACAAGGCTTAAAATAATATAGTATTGTGAAAATATCATGTAAATAGAAAATAGTTAATAAGGAAAGTAACTAGTAATTTGTATCCACAACTATCCTGAGATGTAGAAATACAGATTAATTATTCTATAAATGTAAATAACAAACATTGGAAAATTTGAATGTCACATAAATAAGAGATAGAAAGTCATGCTTTAAAAGCAGTTATACGTTATAAGTTATGAGAAGTTATGTAAAGTATATGAGCTGTGTAAAGTAACGATGTGTAAACTTATAAGAGAATAAGCGCGGAAAAAAAAAAAAAAACCTAACCTAACCTAACCTAACCTAACCTAACCTAACCTAACCTAACCTAACCTAACCTAACCTAACCTAACCTAACCTAACCTAACCTAACCTAACCTAACCTAACCTAACCTAACCTAACCTAACCTAACCTAACCTAACCTAACCTAACCTAACCTAACCTAACCTAACCTAACCTAACCTAACCTAACCTAACCTAACCTAACCTAACCTAACCTAACCTAACCTAACCTAACCTAACCTAACCTAACCTAACCTAACCTAACCTAACCTAACCTAACCTAACCTAACCTAACCTAACCTAACCTAACCTATAAAATAACATAAAATGGGAGGAACTAAGACCTTTCTTTGAAACTAAAATTATGGAATATGTACCCCAAAATGTTACAGTTGAACAGATGCAGGCAAACGAACTGGAAGATTACATAATTTCAGTTACATCGGCAATTCAAAGAACATGTGATGAGCTGCTCCCAAGGTCAACTGGTCGAAAATACCGCTGCCCTTGGTGGACAGACGAACTTGAAAGTCTCAAAAAACAAGTAATACGCAACCATCATAACATACAAAAACTTCGCCGACAAAATAAACCACTTAAGGACGCCCTTTTGGAAAAAGAACGCTTAAAGACTGCTTATTCAAAAACCTTTAGAGATACTTCCACGCGAAATTTCAGACACTTTTGTGAAAGGCAAGGGAAGGAGGATGTGTGGTCCGTTACAAATAGAATAATCAAATCAAACCCACCTCCGCTACCACCAGCTACACTAAAGAAATGCGATGGTACATACACCAACTCTAGCCTCGAAACCGCCCAAGCTCTTCTTAATAAGTTTTTTCCCGATGATGACATAAATGATACACCACTTCAAGAAGAAGCTCGGAAAATTGCAATTACCGTACCTAATACTCAAGATGAACCCCCTTTTACCTATGAAGAAATTCGCAGTAGCTTAAATAGTATTAATCCGAAAAAAGCACCCGGCACTGACCATTTTACTTCTGACATTTGCTTATTATTTGCCGAAAGCTTTCCAAATTTTATTACTTCAGTCATTAACCGATGTTTTAAACTGGGATATTTTCCAAATATCTGGAAGATAGCTTTTATCAAAATCCTCCCTAAGCCCCACAAGAACGGTTATTTAAATATTTCTTCTTTCCGCCCCATAGGTCTAATTAATGTATTTGGAAAACTGTTTGAAAAACTAGTTATACGTAGGTTAACATATTTCATGCACCAAAAAAGATCTTTTTAACTCAGCACAGTACGGTTTTAAAGAACAAACATCTACCATCAATGCATTAACCAACATAATAAATATTACCAACCAGGCCATAGCCAATAAAGAGCAAGTGCTTGCAGTTTCTTTAGACATACAAGCTGCATTTGACTGTGCTTGGTGGCCGGCAATATACCGCAGACTACATAAAATTGGATGCCCCCGTAACATCTACTCTATTTTGTGTAGTTATTTCCAAAATCGATCTGCATTTATACATTTCGGAGACAGCACAGCTATAAAAACTCCGACGAGAGGTTGCGTCCAGGGTTCGGTTTGTGGCCCTTACCTATGGAATTTAATTGTGGACGAACTTCTCGATATGGATATGGCACCTGGAGCTACAATACAAGCATTTGCGGATGACATATTCCTTCTTGTGCGCGCCAAAGATAGTAATAATTTACAGCTTAACGCAAATAATGCTTTGAGTATAATCACTAAATGGGGTCAGGAAATGAAACTTACTTTTGGAGTTGCCAAAACACAGGCCATCGCATTTACTTGCAAGGCAGCGAGGTGCAAGCTCTATATGTCTGGTCATCTCCTGAATTTTTCTAACGAGATTAAGCTTTTAGGCGTTTTGATAGACAAAAAGCTCAAATTCATAAAACATGTAGATTTCATCGTCAACAAAGTCCGTAAATTGTACACTAGGTTAATAACGTTCGTCAAACCAACTTGGGGCATTCACTCCGAGAATATAGAAATTATCTATAAACATGTGATTGAGCCAATAGTCTGTTATGCTTCTTCTATCTGGCAATCAGCAATCGGGTACAAATGTGTGAAAGAGAAACTACTCTCTTTGCAACGCAATTTTGCCCTTAGAATTATCCGTGGCTTTAGAACCGTGAGTACAGTCGCTTGCATATCAATCGCTCAACTATGCCCACTCCCAATAAAAATAAAGGAAATAGCAGATAATGAGCGCACAAGAATCACACAAGTTTCACAGTACCTACCTTCTGATGTTACTCTAGACGTCCCTGCTAAACCAGGAAATTTATTACATCCCTCTTTGCGAAAACCTATTAAATTTACTGAAGAACAAATACCGACAGAATATATTATAAATTCTTATCGTATTTACACCGATGGTAGCAAGCACAGCAATAAAGTGGGCGCTGCATTTGTGATACACAAACCGAACGGAGAAAAACTAATACGCAAATACAAATTACATGACTCGTGTTCAGTCTTTCAAGCCGAACTCCTGGCCATTTCTAAAGCCTGCGAATGGATTATAGAACACAAAATCAATCCAACATATATTTTCTTCGACAGCAAATCAGGTCTCCAATAAATTGCAAACGAAAACAGTTACAACTCTCTCGTAGTATCGATTCATAGGATAATACAACGAATTGAATCACTCAATTTAAAAGTCAGTCTTTGCTAGATTAAAGGTCACATCGGAATTTCAGGCAATGAAGAAGCGGATGCAGCTGCCAAAAGCGCGGCAACCTCCCACCGATCTTATGAATTTCTCAAATTCCCAATAAGCCATGTAAAATATTTAAATCGACAACAAGCCATTAAAGGAACAGAAAACTTTTACTTTGAAAGTGACAAAGGCATATATACCAAATCTCTATGTCCTACTTATGAGCAACTCACCCTAACTGTTAAAGCACTGGCACCTAATTTTGCTATAACTCAGTATCTTAGCAATCATGGATGTCACAAGGAATATCTTCATCGTTTTAAAATAATGCGATCAAACTAGTGTACAATCCATGACACATCTTATAAGAAACTGCCCTGCATTTCTTAGAACAAGAATGGAACATGAAATTGCGTGCACTATGTTAAAGATAGAACCATATAATTTATCAGAAATAATTTCCAAAGAAACTACTATACAAACTTTTAAAACCCACGTCAATTACATTATAAGTCAACTAAAAAACTTCAACAACAATACAGCAGTAGTAAATTAAAATAATTGAACATCATATGCCGCATAAGTAAATTCAAGAAAAATTGGAATAAACGTATAATAATAAGATAGATATGTAAATAGTAATTTTAATTTTATTAATTCTATTAAGGTAGTCTATAAATATTAAATATTTATTAATTATAAATATTTATATATAATTATGTATGAATATGTACATTTATGTTTAGTATTAAACAAATTAATGTTCCAATTGTCTTGCATAAAACATAAATCAAATTCTTATCGTAAAATATTTTAGGTAACATTATTAAAATATATTATGAAAACCATTGTTGAAAGTTATCAAAAGTAAATATTAACAGAAATCAAAGCAAAATGTGGAGCAAATAGAACCCATCATTTCAACAAAAATTTCGCAACCATAAGGAATTGTATACCGATAGCAATTCCTCATGGAAAAGAAGGAGGGGAAAAAAAACCTAACCTAACCTAACCTAACCTTTAAAGGCCCTAAGGAACCAGAATCGGGACCTCTTTGACGGCCTCGGCCCTGGGGATGACCGACTCGAGGTAAGGTATCGCAGAAGGGCTAGGAACCCGCACGTGGCCAACGTGGTCCTGAGTGCGTCGCCCACCCTCTGGGCGAGGATAACCGGCGTGGGCTCGGTCCACATCGACCTCCAGAGGGTGCGAGCGGAGGACCAGTCGCCACTGGTCCAATGCACGCGATGCCTCGGCTATGGCCACGGGCGGAAGTACTGTAAAGACCCAGCAGACCTCTGTAGCCACTGTGGCGGGCCGCACTTGCGCACTAAATGCGCGGATTGGCTGGCGGGGTCCCCACCTTCCTGCCGGAACTGTTGTCGCGCGAAGTTTGAAAATGTTGAACATAACGCATTTAGCGACAACTGTCCCGTCAGGAAGAGGTGGGATGACCTCGCCCGGCAATCCGTAGCGTATTGCTAAGGGCGTGCCGGCGAACGCAGTGGTTCTCAAAGTCCTCCAGACGAACCTCCAGCGCAGTAAGTTGGCACCCTCCGAGCTGCTGATCGAAGCCTCTAACCAGCGTGCGCGGTTTGCTCTGGTGCAGGAGCCATACGTCGGCGGAACAGGGCGTGTGAAGAGTCAAAATGGGATCAGAGTCTTCCAGTATGCGGACCATGGAAGTGGGACTGTAAAGGTCGCGATCATAGTTTTTGACGCGGACCTTCACATAACACAGTACCCGAAACTCACCACGACCAACATCGCAGTGGTGGGGATCCGAGTCCGCAACTGGGAGATCATCCTGGTTTCATTTTACTTTGAGCCCGACCTGCCGATGGACTCGTACCTGGCACACCTGCGCCGGGTGCAGCGCGAGACAGGAGCTCGGAGTGTTATAATTGGCGGCGACTCCAATGCCAAGAGCGTCTGGTGGGGGAGTCCCGTGACAGATCGCCGCGGCGAGGAACTGCACGGCTCACTGGAGGACCTCGGGCTCTGCATCCTGAACCGAGGGGAAACCCCTACATTTGACACTATCCGGGGCGGCGTAAGGTACAGCAGTTATGTTGATATAACTGCCGTATCGCCGAACCTATATAGCTTGGTGGACGACTGGCGCGTGCGCGAGAACCTGACCAGCTCGGACCACAATGGCATATCCTACACATTAACGACAAGGCACATCAACAAGAATTTCATCAAGCACACCACAAGAATATATTACACTAAACACGCAAATTATCAATAGAGAAAACTTTACATTAGATTATATTAAAAATTTAACACACGGTTCACAATTAGATAACACAATCATAAAATACAACACATTAATAGCCGAAGCATGTGCCTCGTCTATTCCGCCAATAAAGCGCAAGGATGTGTTGAATATGCCATGGTGGAACGAGGGGTTGGCAGCGCTAAAGCGTGAGGTGGCCACCAAGAGATGCAGGATTCGGTGTGCAGCGCCGTTAGGCGTCGGAAGGTAGTTGGGGAGTACCTCGAGGCGAAGGAGCGTTACGAGACCGAGGTAAGGCAAGCGCAGACGCGCAGCTGGGTCTCCTTCTGCGAACGCCAAGACGGGGAATCGGTTTGGGGGGGTATCTACCGGGTCCTCGGCAGAACCTCCAGGAGAGACGAAGACCCACCGCTGGTGGTAGACAGTATGGAGCTAGACGCCAGGGGCTCGGTGAGGCATATGGCCGAAACCTTTTACCCGGAGGACTCCGAGGGGGATGACTCCGAGGAGCACCGAAGGGTGAGGGTACAAGCTGAGCTCTTTGACGCTGAAACTTCTTCGGAATTGACGGACCCGCCTTTCACTCCTTTGGAGTTGAAATTGGCCTGCCGGTCCTTCAATCCGAAGAAGGCTCCAGGCGCGGACGGTTTTACCGCCGATATATGTTTGCACGCGATAGAATTTGACCCCGAACTCTCACTCGCTCTTTTCAACAGGTGCTACGAACTCCGGCATTTTCCCGAGCCCTGGAAGGAGGCCACTGTAATCTTCCTCCGCAAGCCGGGGAAGATTACTTATACGACACCACGGTCGTATCGGCCGATCGGTCTCCTTCCGGTGCTGGGGAAGGTGCTGGAGAAAATGCTTGTCGCCAGATTAAAATATCATATAGCGCCCAGGCTCAGCACCCGCCAGTTTGGCTTTATGCCCCAGCGGAGCACCGAGGACGCCCTCTATACGCTAGTTGAGCACATCAGATTAGGTTTAAAAAACAAAAAGTTGATGACGCTTGTATCACTGGATATAGAGGGCGCCTTCGACAACGCTCTGTGGCCACGCATCAAAGTCAGACTGGCGGAGGAACGAGTGCCGTTTAACATCAGGAGACTCCTGGGCAGCTACCTGAGCAGCAGGCATGTTCGCGCACGGTATTGCGGGGAGGAGCACGTGAGGAAAACCGAGAAGGGTTGCGTGCAGGGGTCTATCGGTGGGCCGATTTTGTGGAACCTCTTGTTGGATCCACTGCTTCGCGAGCTGGAGGCTAGACATCACTATGTGCAGGCATTCGCTGACGATGTGGTGCTGGTCTTTGAAGGTGAGACGGCTCATGAGGTCGAAAGCCGTGCTAATGCCGCCCTCGAGCATGTGAGGGAGTGGGGAGTCCAGAACAAACTGAGGTTTGCGCCGCACAAGACCAGTGCCATGGTCATCACGCGCAAACTGAAGTATGACACCCCACGCCTCCACATGGGCGGGGTCGACATTGGCATGGTCGGAGAACTCAGGTTACTGGGAGTCGTCCTAGACCAGCGCCTGACCTTCAACACGCACGTCGCGAATGTGTGTAAGAAGACCGTAGCCTTCTACGCCCAGCTTTCGAGAGCCGCGAAGGCAAGCTGGGGCCTCCACCCCGAAGTTATCCGCGCTATCTACAGAGCGGTGGTTGAGCCCGTGATACTGTATGCGGCTGCCGTTTGGGCGCCGGCTGTTGATAAGCTCGGTGTTCGAAAGCAGCTGAACGTGGTCCAGCGGGGCTTTGCGCAGAAAATGTGTAGGGCATACCGCACCACCTCCCTCACTCAGCACTGTTGCTCGCTGGGATACTCCCCCTTGACCTGCGCGTCCACGAAGCTGCGGCGCTGTATGGTGCGAGGAGGGGTATACCCCAGGACGCGATAGGAGATCGGGAGGTGGAACGGATGTCCTCGGCTCTGCGGTCTCCGCATCCCGCTCAGCATATCGACCTGGAGTTCAAGTGCCTGGCGGGCGAGGAACAACTCGCGGTAAATATTGACCACGAACTTAATATCTACACGGACGGCAGTAAGATTGAGGGCAAGGTGGGTGCGGAGTTATCCATATGGAGGGGCGCCGCCGAAACCAAAACCCTCAAGCTTACTTTGCCGTCCTTTTGCACCGTCTACCAGGCGGAACTCCTGGCGATATGCAGGGCGGCGCGGACGGCCGCAGATAACTCGGCCAGATCAATCGGAATTTATTCTGACTCTCTGTCGGCACTGCAGACAACGATAAATCCAGTTGCCCTCCAACCCCTGGCCGTCGAGGCGCGGAGCCACCTGCACAGGTCTTCGATACAGGACAAACTTGTCAATTTGTTCTGGATCAAAGCCCACGCGGGACTAGAGGGGAATGAGCGTGCCGACCATCTGGCCAAGGAAGCTGCGCTAAAGTCTAAACGCAGTTTTGACTATGACAGCTGCCCGGTTTCATTCATCAGGCGAAGCATTCGTATGCGATCGCTTGATGAATGGAACCAACGATACCGGGCCGGTGAAACAGCCGGTGTCACCCGGGTCTTTTTCCCGGACGCGATAGCCGCATACCGTGTCATCGGTAAAATAAAGGTGGACAGATTTGTCACTCAGGTATTGTCGGGGCACGGTGGATTCTCCGAGTACTTGCATCGTTTCAAGTGTAAGGAGAGTCCATCGTGCGTCTGCGATCCTGCGTGTTCGGAGTCTGTTCTCCACGTCCTCCTGGACTGCCCGGCCCATGACCGTGAGAGGCAGGAGCTGGAGTTCTTATTGGACTGCAAACTGGAAGTAAGTACGCTTCCGGATATTGTACTGGGTAAAAATAGAGACTTGTTCCTCAAATTTTGTATAAAACTGTGCATTGCTGTCAATAAAAGAAATAGAGTGTAAGTTATGCTAAGTAATTATATTGTTATATAAATATATTAGCATAAATAAATTGTAATTAGGAACATAGTCTTAAGTTAGCATTAATGATGAATGTAATTAAAGTTTTATTGTTCCCCCCTTCACTGTCCCTGCCCCCTTTGTGTTTCAATTTGAATGTAAGTACACTATGGCCTTCAGCCCATGATTGAAAGATGATGTAAGCGAGATGAAAATGGGATGCTGAATGGCTGACGAGCAGAGTATAAGATATGATGTATGAATGAGTTTTTGAAGATAAATAAACAAACAAAATAATAAAGACAAATTGTAAAAACAGTCTCCCAAAGTCTCAGGGAGGTCAATTAAAGAAAAAAAAAAAACCTAACCTAACCTAACCTAACCTAACCTAATAATACAGGTAAGGGAATTAATTTATAATATGTAGTTAAAAATTTCGTTTCTAATTAGTGGAATACTCATAATGAATTTTATCTGATTTTGTTTTATATAGGCTTTTATCTCGATACATCTTTCTAATTTTACGAATTTCTATTTTTTCGTAAGTAACAGGAAACACTAATTTATCAGTATGTTTTATTTCCTTCAACAATATTATAAGTTCTTCAGTATCAATAATTGATTGATGCAGTACGTTAATTTTGCTAAAAGCAATGGCTGTTTCGTTTTCATTTAAATGGGAATATAAATTATGAAAGTTATCAAGAAAGATATTATAAAGGTGAATAATTTTGGTAATAGTTTGTCTAAAATTGGATTTTTTTAAAGCTTGATTAATATTTTGAATACTATCTTCTATTCGTATAAAATTGCTTTTAGTAGAATTTGCCACATTTGTAAAGGAGCCCACCATTTCGGCAACTATTGTCATTTTATTTTTAATTGCATTTTGTTCCGAATGTAATTTACTTATTAATCTTTCATATTTAAGAGCGTCATCATAATCTAAGTTACCTGTGATAGTTTTTATCAAAGAGCCAATCGAATTGAGGAGATCTCTTTTGATTCGTAATGAAGGAATTAATTGCTTAAATGTGTCGATGTTAACATTCAAAGTATAATCAGTTTGATATTGAACGGTTATAAAATCTGAATCAAATGACTTAATATCGAAACAATTTTGAACATGCTTTTTAAGCAACCCGTATCATACTTGACTCTAATTCCTCGTAAATTAAATTTAAATCTAATATCTTTATAACTATCCAATTATCATAATTAACAAATGCTTGAACTTTGTCCACAGGTAACAATCCCGGGTTCTTGTCAATGTGAAGCAGATGAAGGGCCTGGATTCCCATTATTCGGATCACCAGTGGGAATAATCTGTGGGGCCATACTATCACAAAAGAAGGCTTAAAACCTAATGACGAAAAAATCAAATCGGTACTGAAATACTCCTTACCGCGTACAGCCACCGAAATAAAAAGTTTTCTCGGATTAGTAGGATATTACAGAAAATTTATTAAAGATTTTGCTAAACTTAAAAACCACTTACCTCTTGCCTGAAAAATAAAAACAAAATTGAAATTACAAAAGAATATATAAACGCATTTGAACGATGTAAGGAGCTTTTAACAAACGCCCCACTCTTACAGTACCCTGATTTCTCAAGACCGTTTGTGCTCACTATAGATGCGTCGAACTTTGCCCTCGGTGCAGTTCTATCTCAGGGACTCATCGGTAGTGATAAGCCTATAGCCTTTGCAAGTCGTACATTGAACGATGCTGAAACGAAATACAGCACAATAGAGAAAGAACTTTTGGCAATCGTTTGGGCAGTCAAACATTTCCGCCCTTACTTATATGGAAATAAATTTTCGATCTACTATCGAGGTCCCCGCACGGCCGCACAACTTGTACATGTACGACACCAATCCTCGACATCGTCACGATAATGGACCCATTAAAACTGTTCTCGGACCTTCAGTAGAGTTCGTTTAACTCCCAGATGGACTCTTGAACGACCATTATGGCACAGCTGTAGAACATTCGGCACTTTAGCTTTAGGGACAACCATTTGCAAACGACAGCTGTCTCTTCGACCATTGTCCCATTTACGGCACAGGACTCCATCCTGAATCAGCAAGCTGTCCCATTGGGCCCAATAGCTTTTCGTGGTTGAACTCA